TATTATTATTATTATTATTATTATTATTATTATTATTATTATTATTATTATTATTATTATTATTATTATTATTATAATATTGATTAGATTTATTATTAGTATTATTATAATTATTATTATAATTATTATTTTTTTACTTTGATAATGAATAGCAATATATTCAGATTTTTTATAATTATAATAAGTTAATAGTTGAGTATTATTTTGTTATTGATTAAATATTTTTCTATTAGATCTATTATTTTGTTAATCAATATTTTGATTATTATTTGTTAATAATATTTCTAATTTATTTGTTAAAGCAACTAATTGTTATAAAACTTAATTGAATTTATTTAATTATTGTAATATAACTAAAATATTTAATAGACTTATAGTAATATTACTAGTAATGAGTTTAATAAATTATTAATAACTAAATTTATATAATTGAGTAGTGTGAATTATAGTATTTAAGATAGTAAATCTAGCTAAATTAACAAAGAATTTGATCTCTAATTTTAATCTATTAACAAATAATATTACTTTGAGATATTTTGAATATGTATTACTTGAATCTATTCAACAAAGTAATTCTCAAACAATAATGAAATATTGTTCAATACTTTTAGTTGGTAATTATTTTTTTTGATTTAATTATTGTTATTATTTATATATTTTATTAAAAATTCTAAATTGTTATTTAAATTGAAAAGTAAATAAAGTAATTTGATTATTTGTATTATTTGAAGTATTTAAATTTTATTATATTGATCAATTTGGTATAATTGCTCTTTTATTAGCAAGCCATATTTCAGTGATACTTTTTAAATATGCATTAACAATTTGTTGTTTTCTTATATTAATAATATTATTAGCTTGGCATATACTTTCAAAATCTTGTAATCTTCTGATAAGAGCTTGAATATCTTTATAGAAATTAATAATTTTTGTAAATAATATTTTTCTTGCTAAAAAAGTAATAATAACTTGTGCTTAAATAATATTGATAAGATTTATTAATTCAGTTATTAATTAATTGAATTGTTATCTATTTATAATTAATTATGATTGTTGTTTTTTAATATTTTTTTCTATTTCTTGAATTATTTGATCTTCTAAATCTTTTTCAAAAATTTGTATTGATAGCTTATTTGATTTTCTGAATTTTGAAGTTCAGCTAATTGTTTTTGAAGTTTTTGTTATTGTCAGTAAGCTTTTCTTTATATCAAAAAATTTGTAATATCTTATTATAAATAATATATATATTTGAATTTCTTATTTGCTTTATTAGGAGTGTTATTTTAATAATATACTAAGTTAATTAATTGATTTGGTGATTATATTTTTTAGGTAATTTTCATTAACTATTTTAATTATTTGATATTTTATTTTTTTAAATTGTTCTTTGATAAGAGTTTCTTTTAAATCAATTTCATTTCTTAATTCTTTAAATAATTAATTTATTTTAATACTGGTTGATTGTGTTGAATTCAGTTTGATTTATTAATTTGAGTAATTCATCTATAGAAAATTTATTTATTAATTAATTTATTGTATTTAATATTTCTTTATTTCACAGAGAAAATATCAAATTTTATTATTATTTTATATGATTTTAAGCTTTGTTACAAGAGAAATATGTAAATAACATGTGTTATCAAATCAAATAGAAAAGTTTATAAAATATAACTTCAAATATAAGAAAAAATATAAATATTTAAAGATAAGTAATATATGTTCATTTATTGATCAACTAGAATAAGATCAAAAATATTCAAAAATAATTATATTTTTTTAATAATTAGTTTATAAACAAATTAAATATAATTTCTTTTATTAATTTAATTATATATTATTAACTTTACTAATATAGATAAGGATCAATTTCAAATATTATAAAAAATATAACTTTATTAATATAAATAAAAGATTATAAGACAAATAATAAGAATAACTTTACAATTAAAATATGAGATTATAAAAAGAATATAAAAAACAAATTTTTAATAAGATTATAAATTGAATTGAATTTTGAATTAAAATTTGAATAGAAATTCAAATTAAAATTCAAACTGAAATTCAAATTGAAATTCAAATAAAAATTTGAATTAAAATTTGAACTAAAAAAATTCAAATCAAAATTTGAACTGAAATTTGAACTGAATTTCTAATTGAAATTTAAATAAATATTTAAATTTAAAATACTAATTATACTTATTATTATTTAATAAAATTATTTTAAATATTAATATAGAATTATGAAATTAATTAAATAAAATATTAATGAGTTATAAAAAATTAAATAATTAATTACTCATTTTTTTTATAAATATAATAAATTATTATTTATATAGTAATTTATTTTTTTTTTATTTATTTCTCATATCTATTTTTCACATATATTTCTCATTTTTATTTTTTTATTTAATAATGATAAGAAATTATATTATATATTTACAGATTAATATAATTTATCTATAATTTTTTTTTATAATCTATTATAATTTTAGATCTTATATAATCTTTATATAAATTATAATTTTTAATATTTTAATATTATTTTATATTAGTATATTAAAAAATTATGTTAAGTATTTGTTAAATCTTTTTTTATAAAATTGACTAAATTATACAGAAAATATAATTGGTTAATTATATGATATATTTTTATTTGAAGAGAGATTAATTAAAACTATTTCAAATAATATATTTTATATTTTTATAAAAAAACTGTTTTTATATAGAATAAAATTAAATATAAAATTAATCAATTCTTAAAAATGAGATTTTTATAAGCAAATATTCTTATATAAAATATTTTTATAGAGAGTTTTAATTATATTTTGTAATAGAAAGTTTATATAGTAAATAAATATAATAAGCAAAAATAATATTAGTATAATATAGTATAATATATATATTTAAAATAATTATTAACTTAACAAAAAAAATAATAAATATCTTTTGATATTTATTTATAATAATTAATTAAAATTATTTTTTGTAATAATTTTATATTTTTGATTTCTATATTTTATAATATAAAAATTTATAAAAATATATTAAATATTACTTATATATTATTATTATTATTATATATTATTATTATTAGTACAAAGTAATCAAATTATAGTTTCTTATTATAATTTTTGATTTAGAAAACATTTAAGTTATTAAACTATTATAATTTTTGACTTAAACAAGTTATTATTACTAATTTGAAAATGTTCAAGCAAGTTATTAATATTTAATATTTAATAATTTAATATATTAATATATTAAAATTAGATTTTATTCTAATAAATTATAATATAAACACTTTATTATTTCTCTTTAAATATTTTATCACATAAGTTAATAATTATAGTTGATAAGAAATATTATAAATTGTATGTTTATTCTAAGTAAAATTCAAAACATATCAAAATAATAACAATATGCAAATTATAATATAATATTATCATTATAAAAAATTTTTATTATATACAAAACTAGTTACTTGCTTATTTAAAATAAATAATCTTTTTCTCTATATACAAATTGATTTTGTAATTGATTATAATATCTATATATTTTCAAAATATCATTAATCAAAATCATACATACATGTAATATATAAACAAATATTATTAACCAAATAATTAATCAAACTATAATAAGTAATCATTAATCTTCTACTCATTACCAATTATTTATGTTTCATCTATCATATTAAAAGAAATAATAAAATTCAAAATCATATTCATAATATACATGTGAAATTTCAAATCGATCTCAAATGACTAATTAAATAATAACCAGTATTAATAATGAGTGAATTAATGAACAAATAAATATTTGAAATATATAGCTGAGTACAATCAAGATTTCAATGCTTGTAATCTGGCTTGCATCTCATCTAACTCTGGTTCTTCTTCTTCTTCTAGAACTTCTATTTGCTGTTGTTTTATCTATGCGAGGAAGAATACATAACCAGTTAAATATTTACAAAAAACCAGAACTTCAATTTGCAATTGGAATAAAGAAAAAATTACCTCTAATGGAGCACCTACTTCTCCTGCTTCTCCAAGAAGACCTACCAAAAAACACCCAACGATTATTAAAACTTTTATAAAAGAAAAAAATAATACATGATGACGGATAAATATATAAATAACCAAGCAATTTATTACCATCAGTCAACTCAAACAAAACTTTATTAACTTCTTCGTCTGCCTCTTCTTCAACATCACTCTCCTCTAATGATTCCATTGTGTCTTCTATCATTTCATCGATTATTCCAGCCTATCATCATCATCATCATCATCATCATAGAACAAAGTGAAACAAGGTTAATAATTGAAATGAAAAATAGAACGACTAAATGTATGCAACAACATACCTTCATCATTTCCATTGAAAGTTCTTGCATAGATTTCGAAATCTCTGGTAATTTTGCGAGTGTGTTTACCATTTTCATTACTTCTGTGCTTTTTTGTAGTGTTCCAGAGACTTTGAGTGTAGCTATAAATTTTTATATATCATAAACATCACTACAATTTTCTCATCCTTCAACACACACACATAGATTTTAATCACTCTATTCTTCGTATTCCAATTCCACATTCATACCTAACTGATGCTGCAACTGCATAATAATTGAATTCAGTTGCGCCTTACTCGTATATATTCGATCACGCTGTTTCCTTGAGCGCACCAACTCCCTCGCGAGTATTTTCGCATTCTTTACATCGTTCTTTTTCGCCATTTGTTTTAGTGTTCGTTTTAGCTTTTGTTCTTCAGTGTCCATGCCGCGTAGTTGTCGATCTAGTGCGCGTTCTTGGGCACGAATGCTTTGGCGCCATTTACGAACCTTTTTGTAAGATTTTAAAAAATTATATAATTAAGAAAAAGGAAGCAACCGACGCAAGTTGCTAATAGTCAATAAATCAATTATTTGCATGTGATTAAAGAACCTTCGCTTATTGCTCTCTAATTTTTTAGAATCTTCACTTAAATTCGAAACTAAATTTAATTTACGACGACTCTTTTACCAGTAAAGTTTGAAAACTAAACTAACCATTTCATCTGGGTTGGCCTTTTTCCCAAGTAACTTTTGAACTGAATCCATTGTGAATTCTCGCGTAAAGAACAAGACCCCGGATAATACTATAGATCCCGTTAATTTGTAGACTTTATCCCTTAATTTCAGCATACCCATTTTCTAATTATGGCAATTTTAAAAATTAAAATACAAAAATTGCAAAATCACCATATAAGGAAATATTTTATAACCTATTCCCGATGTTGATGTAAATAATTATGTAAATATATTTTCACATATACGTATATGGATTTTGAGACATGTCCTTCGAATTTTTTTATAAATAATCAAGACTTCAGGCAATTTTATCTTTGTAAACGATAGCAAAATGATGGAATTTTTATTCTATTCACTCTTAAACAAATATCAGATGAATCAATATCGATAGAAACAATAATTTGTACAGTGGCCAGCAAAAAAACACGCACCATCCTGAAAAATTTTCTGGAATTTTTATCTCTTGCCCTGTTCTGATTTTTTGTTTTCTCGTAAAACAAATGGAAATCTTGGATTTCTTAAATTTCAAAAATTGATTTATCGTTATGCTCTATACAAAATCGGAGATTTCGTAAACATTTTAGCGTTAGTAGGTCAAAATATACTAACGTTAATTGAAAATTTTGACGAAGAAATTTTTCAGGGGTAGTACATTTTTTGTGGTAATCAAGTCTTAAAAATAGATATATGACAAGAAACTGTATTGAGAATATGCTATTTACATTTATATTTACACAATATTAAAAAAAAGCAATAATAGATGGAACTAGCTACAAGTATTCTCAAGTTATGTTGGATAATGCGTGAACAGGATGCTTCATATATTTGATTTCTGTAATTATAGGCATACACAGAGTGGGTACAATTAATTCACCTATTTCTGTTTATCTATCTGTGCGTCTATTCCATTTCTTTCGTTATTCAGGCACAACCGCATTCTCAATATTTTCTCCGATATCCTTCGCGTCTCCGTTTGTCGATTTTTCTACTTGTTTCAACAAGTCTTTTTTGTTCGACAACAGCACACGCGTTCTCATCAACATTTTACCGGCACCCATTGCGAACAACACATTTATCAGTATGACGCCAACGTGTGCGATAAAGTAGTTTAACTTCCAGACGTGGAGCGATTGTCGAAGGGATAAAAGAAGAAACGGGACGATCAGGTAGTTTATGGTGATTTGCGTGGCAAACCAGCCAGTTAAGTCGTAGATTCGTTTGTATGGTGATAGTGTTGGAGTGAGGAAGAATGGGCGAATGTTGCGTCTTATGGCTGAGAAAATTAGGATGTTATATAAATATTTTCATATTATATATACAACTATCTTTTTACTTTATTACCTCTGTGTGTACTCTGAACGAATGCACCACTCACAAAAGTTACTATGAATAAAAATATGTATAAAATTAATCGTATTGGCCATCATAACCTTTATGGTGCATAAAATCTAAAGTCATCAAACGTTTGTATTTTACAAAATGTATAAACTTCTTTACTAAAAAGTAAATACAAAATTTAATCCGTGAATATGCTCAGAAAGGGCTTATTCTATCATATTCACGGATTAAATTTTGCATTTACTTCTTTGTAAAGAAGTTTATACATTTTATAAAACACAAACGTTTGATGACTTTAGATTTTATGCACCATAGCATGTTTTTCACAAAATAACCTACGATAATAGCCTGGGAGAAATCCATGCCATAAAGCGCTAGTCCCAAATGTGGCAAAAGTCGAGAAAAAGGTTGGTTTCTTGCCAGATGGAGTTACGCGTAAATACACGTAATTTTTCAACCATATGTTCGTGTTCATGTTCCACGCTTCTAACAGAGTCTTGATATTATCGGCTGTTTCGTAGGCGATGACATCAATATTTGTGACACGATTCCTACAAACGTCGATGATTATAGAATAAATGGGATAAAAAAAGAATTGTTGACTCTTTCTATATACCATTTAGCGTTCCCCTTGTCGTCGTATCCATTAAACCCTAATCCTGATAGAATACAAGCTCCTTCAGCGATTAACCACACAACATAATATTTGAATCGGGCACAGAATGCAGCGATTTGTATATAATAGAATCTAAAGAAATGGATGTGACAAACTAAATCAAATCAAATCAAATCAAATAAATCACATTATTCCATATGATTATTTTACTTACTTATACAAGAACGATTTTTTCTTATACTCTTCACTCAACGTCCACTCAATCGTGAATTCCTTTGCCATCAACATACTCAATGTAATCCAAAAAAATCCAAACAGTAATTTCCGCACGGCCGGATAAAATCCATCTGGAATATAGTAAAGGTTTTTCTTTTCATCGTCATCGTCATCATCTTTTTGATTATCTGTTATTTGTCCGTTATTTTGACCGATAATGTTGTTTTGCAGGCTCTGGTCGATCTCATCATGATGTTGCAATTGAATACGCTTCAGAGTTTTAGATGAGAGTTTGTACATGCCCATTGTGATGAATTGACGATAATCCATAAACTCAAATGCCGGTCCAACTAAAAAGCCACCAAAGAAGAATACATAACCGAGAAATTCAAGTAAAGATGGCAAGACTACAATACGTTTATTTCTTTGATATGGTGTTAATTCCTATAACGGTAAAGATTGTGAGTATAAAGATTCGATGTAAATAAATAGAGGATCATTAGTAAAAAGAAGCATGTAGCTTACTTTAATTGGTTTTTGTCCATCATAAACACTAAATGCAAAAGTGGTCAGTTTTATCACGAGAATCATTTGTGGCCCCGTTAAGTCAAATTTGTCATTGGAAAGTCTAGCGCTAGATAATTGGTGATAAATGTGGCTGCAAAACAAGCGTAGAAGAAAATTAGCATTTTTGATTATAAAACGCGGGACGCGAATTTTTCTTGGATGTTACACGCAACGATCATATTGTTAAACCTTATATTGTCCCATGATCACGCGACCCAAAATGAGATCTAATACCTGACACTCAAATGCCCCATTGCCAAGAAAAACACAATTCTTGGAGCCCACTTTCCTTTCACATAGACCGTAACTGCGTAACAAAGTAACGCGCACACCAAGAACCCATAAACACCCGTGGCAAAACGCGACAATGACGTCGTATTAGCCACATCAAACATACCAAACATGACTAGTATAGCAAAGGTTAAACTAAAAAGATGTTTAAGGTTTTGATTTCTCGGGGGAAGACTACGAAATGTCAGAGCAAGCGGATATGTTGACATTAGGGTTGCCAGAACGCGTAGGTGATCTGGCGGAACACCCGTTATCGTGGAGGCTTGTGTAAAGAATGTGTTGAATAGCTGCATTTTAGGAGAGAATCGAGGGATTTGGGCAGGGGAGAGATTCAAGCTTTCTTTTTCTTGGAACTTCAGTCAGATTTTTCTTCTGGTGAAAAGTTTAAATTGTAACAAAAAAGATCATTCCACCACAGCCTTCTTATATAACAACAGACGCTTTCATTTATCTATTAAAACTTTATCAAATGTATTAAAAATGATAAATGATGATATAATGTAAATCTTGAGAATAATATTTGTTGGTGGATAATTTATAGTAAATTTTCGTCTTTGCTTTTGTCATATTGTCATCACGCCTCATATCATCATTACACATTAGTGATTAAAGAATAGTTTGATCAATTTTTTTTGGGAGTTAGAATAATTATGTGCAAGGGTTTATTAACCCAACAACGACGAACAATTCAATCGCACCCCATTCTTATACCCCAAAAAATTGTAGCACATGTTAAAGTTCATCAACAACAACATAAAAACCCAATATTTACTATATAACGATAAAAATTTACATGATGTCGCGTGTGGTACACAAATCAGAGTTCGCCCCAACGTGGGTCAACTTTTGGGGACAATTGATGAACATATATTTCATATATGCGTATACATAAATTGCCTAAGAATTTTAATTTCGAATTTCATAATTGATATATGTTCGTGCATCATAATAAAAAAGTATGGGGAGAAAAGAAGGAACAAAAAAGTGATAAAAATAACGATGATTGATTAAATAAACAAAAGAAATTTCAGTAGTAGAATAATGAATGCATTTGTTAAACAAAAAAATTTATAATGTGCACGTTCACTCAATCGTAAATATATAAAATATATACCATTTTTAAACAATAATTCTAAATAAAGTCTTCTTGTCCAAAGATGAAAATAAATATTAAAATGTAGTGTTTTTTTTTCGCTTTAAATTAGATTCCTATGAAGAATCTCGTCTCAGAAAATCAAAGCTTCTTATGCGACGTAACCGCTCGCTTGATTCCCCATTGCTGCTGCTACTGCTGCTGCTATTGTTATTGTTGTTGCTGCTGCTGCTATTGTTATTGTTGTTGCTGCTGTTGCTATTGTTGTTGTTTTTGTTATTGTTGTCATCGTCGTTATTGTTGGTGGTAGTAGAAGTACTGGAGTCTTCTCCGTTGGCTACACCTCCCACCATTGATCTTCGTGATCGTCGGCGGAATATTTTATCCTATAAAATAAATATAAATATGTATTTGGAAAAAAGAAAATAACAGTAGAAGCGGAAATACAAACCACCACGGATTCAGCGCCAAACTTTCGCGAGAACTCTCGCACATACTCTTGACTTTTCTCCTCCCACACGGCAAAAGTCTGTCGCAAATCATTTTTTAATTCTGAAAAGTCATTTCGCAGTTCAGTTTTCGTCCCGTGCCAATTTTGATGAATCGACGTTTTTATGTCGGATATTGACTTTTTCAGATTTACTTCTTGTTCCTAATTTTGTATTCAAGCAGCATTTCCAATTATTATTGTTCGTAATTAAAATGATGAGATTATAGTAAATGAACAAGTACCTTTAAGAAACCTAAATTAAGTTCCTTTGCTGTAACCCCCCTCTCCAGATTTCTTCTCACGTATTGATCGTAGTCCCTTACAATGCGTGTTATTAGATCTGAGGTAGACACACCCTCAGTACGGTGTGTCGGAAGAAACTTCCCTTGTTCCTTAACGAATGCGTATACATCGGAGGTATCGATCGACGCGTAGGGAATATCATCGTGCGCCACATAATCGATCTATAAGACAACACATATATATCAAAGCAAATGTATAATAATAAAAAAACAAATTATTATGAATTGTATATACAGTATTATTTGTTAATAAGTATAGTTTTCACAACTTACACGATGTTTACTAAGAAATTCTTGATCAACAACCCAAGGTGCGTGCTCGATCACGCAATCCACCCATTTACAATGTCTCAAAGATTCCGCGCGCTCATATCCGTTCATGACGGTCTTCCCTTTCTTCTCGCGCGTTAATTGATCATCGCACACTAATTATTTGCACAAATAATGGTCAATCATGATGCAACGAAAGTAAAATTACATATCTTGAACATAATGTATTATCAGCAAATTACCTCCCACCAGTAAGTAAACCTCCCTTTCGTCTCCAAAAGCTTTTTTAGCCTGCTCGAGCATTCTAGCGTGCCCGAAATGGAACAAATCGAAGATCCCGTCACAATAAATTCTAATCGGTCTACCGACCGGTGGTGGATTTACCGTGTACGTGTATTGAGAAGGTGACAACAGCGGAGGTGAGTGCGGAAAGTTTTTTGTGTCTATTATGGTGGCAGAGGCTCCACTACCATCACTAACACTGCTATTACTACTACTATTAATACTTGCTTCCTCTTCCTCCGGAGTATTAGGCTCATTTTTTGACCTTTTTGAAGAGATTGGTAACTCGTCGTCAGTGTGAAACGAGTTCGAGGAAGCGATAGAAAAGTCGTTTATGTCGTCTTCATAGTTTACAGAAGTTGTTGTGGCGTTTTGTGTGAATTCTTTGTCGGTATGAATTGGTGGTGCTTGTTTGGAAGAATTTGTGGTATTGCCGGCTCGTTTGCGTTTTGAAGAAAGTGACATTGTGAAATTGGCGAATGAGAGTAGTATTATATGTTGTTGACAGGTTCAAAAAAAATTATATTTTGCGTCAGATTCCAACAATATATAAATAGAAAATAAGAGGCTAAAAACGTGAAACCATAAATTAAAAAAAACTTGACAGTTTACCGGATTCACAAAAATGATATCGATATTGACGCTTGCGTGATGACTTTAAGGAATCTCGTGTATTTTCTCTTTTTGGTTAATTGTACGATTTTAAACTTTTGATGTAATTTATTTTATATTAAAGTATAGTATAAAATATTGTATTGTATTTTGCATCTTGTTGGGGTTGATCGATATCATGAGTGTGTACATGTACCTGTATTCATTTTTGATTTTGCGCTTTGCGTTTTGCGTCGTTTCGATTAAAGAAAATTTACTTCGAATTTACTCGGGTTGTATTCGAATTTATTAGAAGCTCGGCCAATCGACTAATATAATATAATTTTATTTTATCTTATTTTGTTTTATTAAAATTTAATTGGAAAAATTTCAAAATGTTGATTTTTAAAATAGCAATTCGTTCACCAAATCTGATAAATGTGTTTTCGCACAGAAGTGGCAACAAAATTATTTATGCTATAATGAGAAAATCAAAGGATCGTGTTATCATGTACAAAAAGATATAATTGTCATTATCGATAACGATTAATTAATTAAGAATGGATCTGATTTTTTTCATATAAAAATGTTTCTCATGTCATGATAATCTTCCATTATCCTTTCCAGAATCGTCTATAGGAAAAGGGAATTTTCTAGTGCACGACACCTAGTCCCGCAGTTTTATATTGTTATTTTAAAGCCTATAACTTTTGTAGAATTAAATTTCTTGACGGAAACTAAATATTTGATTGTAGACCATCGTGTAGTCTACAATTAAATGTAGTTTTGTTTAGAAATTTAATTCTACAAAAGTTATAGGCTTTAAAATAACAATATAAAACTGCGAGACTAGGTGTCGTGACTGTAGAAAATTTCCTAATACTTGAATTAAATAAATATATATATATATATAAATGACCAACGAAACAATGGTAATGGCAAATCAGCCTTCAAAGTGAATATGGGATTAGTGAAACAAATGATGTGCAAGTAGGGCATTTTCGTTTCAGAGAAGATATGGTTTACACCATTGGTATTGGTGATACCATAAGTCCTGGAAACAAGCACCACTTTTTGCAGCCTAATTTTGGCGGATTTTGAGTTCGAGACAATTTTTCCCGAAAATGTAATTTTAATAGAATCTCTTTTTAAACCACTCTACCGCTTTATAGATTGATACAGTGGTTCAATGTTGACTGTCCCAACTCCTATCTAACTTGAAAACTCCTATTGAAAATATACAGATATATGCAAAATGAGATTCTAAGCATTTTTAATTAGTCACTCAAAATAGGTTTTTATAATAAAATTTAGTGTTATTTATATTTTTTTGTGTACAACACTGCAGTATATAGCTCACTTATGAAATCGTACACCGAAAAAAAATGGCGAATAATTATAAGCGACTAAAGGTAAGCGGATTTTATTCATTAAAATATAAGTTGTATCTATCAATATAATTTTTGTTTTTCGCTATTTTTAAAATTTAAAATAACCAATTTTTATTTTTTTTAGCGTTCAGTTTAATATGGAACAGATGATCTTTAGATTATGATAATAATATAATGAATATTAAGATATTGTCAAAGGAAATGATGTATCAGCCTCAGAATTTAAATACTATATTTGCTATTAAATTTTAGATATATTGTAAAGTGGTGCTTATTTGCACTTTTTGAGAGAATGAACTCTAAACTGAGGGGTGATGCTTATTTCCGGGATTATACAGTAATCTTTTTGGTGAGAAAGAAGTTTTGAATAAGTTGACCGAGGCGGTTAATAAAGTTTGCAGAAGATATTGGCAAATATACCACAATTGTGCAAACTAAATTCCTGAGTTTTCGTGATCCAGAGAAACGTCACAAAGAAACAATAATGAGCCAGAGCGAGGATGTAGCTATCATAATGCGTTCTTGTCGTCTTATTCATGTGAATAATTCGACCGAGAGAGAAGACCCTAGGCAAAGAGCTCACAATGATTGCCGTGCTTTCCCACGAAACTATTTATATTTACGAATTTGGGCGAAATGAATGTGCGAATTAGAAATTACATGACGTGGCTGATCGCGAAGGAACCCATGGTGACAATCAACAAAGCCAAGTTAATCAGCTTATCAGAGAAAACCAACAATTGCAACAAGTAAATCAATTTAGTTGAACAGCGAACTCAACAGCAACATCCAAGACCAATTTTTTTCATCTCCATTTCCAAGGAGGTAAAAAAAGCAAATCTATTTCTTTTGATGAAAGAATCAGAATTAAAAAATTTTCTATTAACTTGTACACTTTCCTTAAATATTTTCTCCAATTCTTATCAAGGCACGAGCATGCTTTTAAACATACCCCTCCTCACATACTTATTCAACAGATACCTTTTACTGACTGGCATTTCTCTACCAAATTCTTTAACACTAGACTTTTTCTTCACTTCCAACTCCAGAACCTCGGATCTTTTCGTTTCCCCTTTTTTCCACACTTTTCACAGTGCATATAGCCATAATTATCCGTATCATAATAAGAACCCTTATTTTTTTTGCTTAATTCACAAGATCATTTTCTCAATTTCTCCTTTTGTTCCTTTAGAGAATTACTAAATAACTCGAACATTTTCCGTGCTTCTTGGATCCGGTTATGTTTTTACAAACCGGTTTTAATAACACCTTGAAAATTGCATATTAAAACCGGTTATATTAATTCGGTTTCAACCGATTAATCGGTTATATTACTGTCCCCACATTTTTTCGAAATACAAAAAATCCATACCCTTACTAATTAATCGTTTACAACCGGTGAAAATTTTCGAACCGGTTATAAATTAAAACCGATTAAACCCGGTTATAAATCCGATTCCGATAACCGATTCTAACCTCTACTTCTTGCTCTAAAAAGTCTCATTTTTTAAGGTGACCATTATCTTTTTTACTAACAAGCAAGCCTCCGATCACTTAAAAAGGTTAATCCCATAATATTTCTGATAAAACTTTTGCTGAAAAATCCAACAAATTCATTATGACCTTTTTCACATTCAATACAAACTAATTCACTAGCTGTCTTTTCCTCACAATAACTACATAAACCTTTTTCTTTTTCATTTGCGCAATTAATAACTCTTAAATTGGTTCTTTTCTAAGTATTTTTCTTACCTAAATCATATGTATTTTTACCCTCAATTATCTAATAAAATAAAAAAAGCTTAAAAAAAGATCTAAAAAAAGGGTGATTTTGGTCCCCGGGGAGGGGTGGACTAAAAGCATGTTTTCTAACGCATTTTTTTTTATTCTTTCTTTTTAGAATGGTAAAATAGAGGTTGCTAGGAAGAATTTGAGGAATATCTAAAACAATTAAAGCTCAAATCGTTAAAGAGGTTCCTGAGAACCCAACACCATTAGCATGAAATTTGTCGAAAAATATTTAACCGAAACCGAAAATATTTTATACTATCGGTTTATTTAATTAACAACTTATATTTTTACTTTTGCCACTTCTTATTTCGTAACATCTTTGTTTTACTAATTCTGTGTTTCTTAAAACTAATCAAATCTCAGTTTTATTTTCTTTTCGCACCATCACAGATAAAAATGATCTGCCTATCTACTTACTTTGATACATTTTTTAATTTCTTCTATGTGTTGGTATTTATAGAAAGCATAAAAGCGAATTTCTTATTTTTTACAGTTCAAAGAAAATCCACTGATGGGGATAATCACTGCCTTTTCGAATAATACATTTTTAACCTCGAGAGAACTATTTAGCGAGGGAATTCTCGTAAATGTTTTGTCTTTTGGGGTCTTTGCAAAAGAAAGCACGGAAACAATAATCACTTTTGGCTTTGGCACAAATTATAGAAAAGTCAAACCCAAACTTTTGGTTCGATACTCTTTACTATCTAGTTTCTTTTCGCATTTTATCAACCTGTTCCTTAATTTCTTTTTCTATCATTTATATACAAGATTCAATAATTTTTCAAGCTAATTGAAAGTCTAAACGACGGTGAAGTTTCTTAAACCGCGAAAAGGAGTAAAAAAAGGATTCATCAATCAGCCCAAATAATCGGGAGAATTGATAAAAAAAGACTATAATGAAGGTAAAATTCACTATAAAAGTGCGTTTACTGATGAAAGTTAGGAAAGAAAAAATAAATACTCTTGTTTATTCCCAGGTTCCAAAAAAGAGAAATAGAGGGGAGCCATAATGCTCCACTGACAATAAAAAAATAATTAACAATTATTAACACATAAACGTGTGATAATTTCGAAAGGTTTTCAAGAATATATGATAGTTTTAAATAAACTAAATATATAAAAATGAGCTGTGTACAAAAAATAAAGTTAAAATATATACACACCCCTACAGTATATTACCAGAAATTTATGTCAATCATTTAATTAACTCGTATATATTGTATTTATTAAAAAAACAAAAAATTTAATAAAAAGAAACTGTCAAATATATAGTTATATTGGTTCAAATTTGAGAACCTACAAATTAATATAATGTACTTTTTCCATTGGCTTCAATAACCTTGTCTACATGTCTAGATAGACTTAAAATTAATTCGCACAAAGTTTCCAGATCAATACTTATCCATTTCTCTTGTAACATACTAATTAATTCTTGCTTTGACATAGATAAAGATTTCCTTTTTTGAAGTTGACAATCCAAAATATTTCATAGATGTTTGATTGAATTGAGATCATGACTTTGATCAACCCAATCTAAAAGCTGGATACCATGTGTTAACATCCACCAAGTCATATAGAATGAGATATAATATAGTGCATTATTTTGCTGAAATGTAAAGTTTGAATATTTATGAGTTTAGGATACAAAGTAATTAGCAAAAATATTAATGTAGATATCTGAATTTATGATTT